AAAAAAGAAACCAACCCCAAACGGAATCTCCAGACTCTAGGGACTTGGCCAGTACCCTCCTGTAATGTTCACTGTATATTTTTTTGATGTACTATAACTGTTGGGAAAAAAAAAAAAAAAAGGAAAATATTTTGATAATCGAATCTCATCGCTTTATTGTGTTACTCAGTAAATAAAAGGAACAAATATAAACAGGCCAGGGCTTTTTGTCATTTCTTTTCCTGCATCCTTTTTGTCATTTCTTTTCCTGCGTCCAGTCAACCCCAAGGGAACTGGTGTTGCTGGACAGCACTGGGACACCTGTGCTTTGGTTTCATGGCAGTTCTTAGAGGAGGCAGCACCGTGACAGGTGGGCAGGGAGAGCATCCAGGTGTGCAAGGTAAGCAGAGTCCCAGCTCCTCCAGGGATCCAGGTGTGCAGGGTAAGCACAGTCCCAGCTGTTTCAAGATCATGGCTGAGTCTGTACCCACAAAGAGGAGAGCTGGATTGGTGGATTTGGGCACCCTGCCCTCAGGAACAGCACCTGCCCTACTCTAGGCATTCCCTGGGGCAGGATGCCTGGATATTCCTGTGCATAAAGCAGCAGTGGGCACTGCCAGGTAAGGAGCTGCAGTGCAGAGCCAGCTGGGGTAGGGCAGGGATAGCTGCTGGGCTGGAGGCAGGGCCAGCAAAGGGGCTCTTCCCACGTGGTATCAGGAAATAGAAAAGAGAGAGGGAGTTGTTCTCTCTGGCCCGGCCACAGAGCTGGTCCCCAGGTGCCGGCCAGCCTGTTCCTCTGCCACCCCCTCCCCGCCTGCACCTGAGAGCAGAGGGGTCACTGGGTGAATTCCCAGCCTTCCTGCAGCACCTCCCACAGTGCAGAGGCCAGGCAGGGAGAAGGGTGGTCCCTATCCCACCGCCTCTCTCATCCTCAGGGACCATTCCCAGCCCTGGGACGACTGTTCCTCCTGCCACCTGCTTCCCGCAGGCTCCGTGACACCAGACAGGCTCAGCAGGAGGTGTGCGAGCGAGGGAAGCAGGGAGGTGAGGAAGAGGAGGTGGCAACGGAAGGGAAAGGGGAGGAAGGCTCAGCCATCCATGGATCCGCTGCCCTTGTTCTTGCGGCTCAGGGGGAACGCAGACTTGCTCTGTGGCTGCGTCATCTTGCTGGCCAGGTAGATGAAGGGCTCGATCAGCGAGCGCCGGTCAGCCACCGACACCTCCCACAGCTTCACCTTCTCGCCCTTGGCCCAGTGCTGGGCTGCCTCGTGGTCCACCCGGCGCTGCTCCTGCAGGTCGCACTTGTTGCCCAAAACCACGATGGTGACCTGTTCCAAAAGTGTGAGAAGGGCACCACTGCAGGGCTGCCTAGCTCTGCCTGGAAACCCCCGCCTGGGCCCGGCCCTGCTGCCGACATCCCCTGCATGTCAAGACCTTTTGAAACCCCACAGTCCCATTGCTCCCTTGCCCTCCTCTTGTGCTCTGTGTGTCTCAAAGCAGCCCCAAAGTGGAACGGGCTGTCGAGCGCTTGTAGGCTCAGAGAGCATCCCAGGACAGAGGCCGTGACAGCTGCGTCTCACAGACCAGGGACCTGTCAGCGTCTTGTGACAAGCTGGAGCAAAGGTGAGAGCCTTTCAAGGGGAGAAGACCCCACTCTGCAGCCCCTGCCCCCGGGGGACTCACCTCCTTCTTGTCCTTGGACTTGTCGATCTCCTTCTTGAGCAGCTCCACGCGCTTGAAGGACTCCTTGCTGTCAGTGCTGTAGACCAGCACGTAGCCGTCGGTGCAGGAGAAGCAGTGCTTGGGCAGCTCCAGCCCGTCCCGCAGCCCCCGCGTGTCGTAGAAGCGAACCTGCTCCCGCACCCCGCGGTCCGTCTCGATGGAGCCCACGTAAATGTCCTCCTGGGTCTCGATCATCTCCGAGCCTGGCGGGGGTGGGCAGGGGACACGTGGGGACGCTGCCGGGGGGCCGGCCCGGGGAGCCGCCCCTCCGGTACCCTCCCGCACCTCCCGCGTTCAGGGGTGAGCAGGGACAGCCCCGCCCGGGGCCGCCGCCTGGCCGGGGAGCGGCGGGGCGGCCCCGCACTCACCGACCACATGGTTGCCGTAGAGCAGCTGCTCGAGGATGGAGGTTTTGCCGACCGAGGCCTGCCCGCACACCACCACCTTGCAGCTCTTGCCCATCCCGCCTCCCCGGGCTCACCGCGGGGCGGGCGCGGCCGGGGCTCGGGGTTGGGGGAGGCGGCGCCGCAGCGCCCCCCAGCGGGCGGGCGGACCGCGGGGGCCGTGCCGCAGGGAGGGGCGTGGCGCCGGTAAGCCCCGCCCCGTGCCCGGTGCTGCCGCCCCCCCTCCCCTCCGCGGGCCCGAGCGCCGGCGCCCCCTGGCGGGCGGTCTCCGCCCCGCCCCGCCCCCGGCGGAGCCCCGCCCGTTCCGGCGCTGGCCCCGCCCAGCCCCGCGCGGTAAGATGGCGGCGGCGGCGGCCGAGCCCGAGTGCGATGTGGTGATGGCGGCGCCCGACGGGCCCGGCGAGCCCGACGGCGACGAGGACACGCGCAGGTACCGCGGCGGCCCTGGCGCCGGCCGGGCGGGGAGCGGACGGCCGGTGACGCGCTCCCGGCGGGCGGGCCGCGGCCGGGAGCACCGCGGGGCCCGGTGGCCGCGGCTGCGGCGCGGGGTTGGCCGCAGGTGGCTCGGCCGGGCTGGGAGCGCTCCCCGGGGGCTCCGGGCGGGCCGTGGCGGCCGTGGGAGCCGCCGGAGCTGGGGTGCGGCGCGCCCGGGTGTTCCCGGTGCGCTCTCGCGGCCTTCGGTGTGCACCGGCACTCGAGCATCCGCCCGGGCCCGGCCCTGACCCGTGTGTCCCGGGAGGGCAGCTCACACCCTCTGCCCCGAGCCCGCACACCGGTGCCGGCGGAGCGCGGTCTCCCCTCGCGGAGGAGGAGGAGGAGGATTGAGCAGCTGCCGAAGGGGAGGCTGCAGACTCCTACATTTGACGCTCTTTGCTGCTCCATCACCCCAGTCCCGTTCCCTGGTCCTGTGATGGGTTTTGTCCCCTCCTGCCTTGCTGTGGATAACGGGGGAAAAAACCCTGGGCAGAGCCCTGCCCCGGGAATGCTCCATCCCTCTGGAGCTCCAGCACCGTGTCCCTGCAGTGCTCCATACACCGTTCCCCCCAGGCTGGGGCACTGGGATCCTGACCCTTCCCGCAGGTTTTTCCTCCCAGGAGTGGGCAAGCTAGAGCGCTGAGGGCAGGAGGTGGGAAGGTCCATGTCCCCAGCGGTGGGCACTGGGCTCATCTCCCTGGGTAGTTCCTGTAGGAGGGGAGGGAACGGCTCCTGAGAATTACTCATTGGAATGAAAAAGAAGAAACAAAAGCAAAAGTGGTTTCAGAGTCCCATTGGTGGCCTGAGGGTTCTGTGCAGCTGAGGCCTGGAGGAGCAGCTCCCTGGGGAGGGCCTGCTGAGCAGGAAAGGAGGAGCTGCTGAAGAGGCACCTGGCTGAGGCTCACAGAGACAGCCCTGTGTGGGCACGTCATTCCTGCCCCTGGGCGAGGGAAATGTGTGGTGTTTGAAATGGTAAAAATTCCCAGAGGTAAAAGCCTGGCTGAAGGCACAGGTGTCTGCTGGCAGCGACCCTTCCTTCCCTGGCCATACCATGCCTTGTACCTCCTTTGGTTCAGCAGGCAGGAGTTACAGAATGTTCCAAATTGCCTTCACAATGTTTCCTTTTCATGTTTTTGGGATAATGAGATCTGCATTTCAGGATAGTTGTAACTTAAAGTCCTGCAGCAGCTGCAGACGTTCCAGAGGGCTCCCAGGGTGTCCGGGGCACAGGAATGGAGTGTGGTCACAGGATAATTATTGTCTGCTGCTGCCTCATGGATTGTTGGGGTCCTGGCGGAAAGGGTTGATGTAATTGTGTTAATTTTATCCATTAGTGCATCAGCGCAGAGCAGCTGATGAGCAGGGCTGGGCCAACCCCAAAAACTCACTTGTTTCCTCGTCGATTTTAAAGGTTTCTCACCCATGGGAGCAGTTTTTCCCTGCTCCCAGCTGCTCAGCGAGCTTGGGTCCCTGGAGCTTTGCCAGGGAGAATTTCCTTGTCATCTTCCTGGCAGCGCTGGGTTCTGCCTCCCGTGCGTGCTCCAGGCTGGATCTTCCTCCTCCTCCTCCTCCAGCGCTGGAGGATGTGGATGCCTCTTGAAAAGAAATACCTCAGAGGGTTGGGAAAATCCCGTGGTGGGGTTGCGGTGCCCTTGCTGCAGACCTGGGGAGCGCTGGTGCCTCCGTGGGGGATCGTCGTTCCCACAGGGAATCCTGGAGGCTCTGGCCATGGCCTGCCTGTGGGTCACTGGTCGGCTCAGTGGGTGTTGGTGAGCAGCAAGAGGCTTTTCCAGCGCAGTTCCCACGAAGTGAGGTGAATCCTGGTGAGGCTTCTCCGGCACTTGGGTTTCCCAGGTGATAAATCCAACCCATTTTACTTATGTGGAATGATGATCTTATGATCATACAAGGAGCAGCAGGAGCTGCTCCTGTAATTGTTTGGTCCCCTGTGCATCTGCAGAGCATTTGAATGTCTGACTTAGGCAGTTGCTTTATTCAAGAGGAAAAGGTGATCCATACCTACAGTTCCAGCCTTTTCCTTTGCTTTTTCTAGGGGTGAATCATGATGTAAATGCAGTTGTTTTCCCATGGCGTTCCTACGGCTGTCTGGTTTCCTTCATTCAAAAGAAATTGCTTCCTTCAAAAAAGCAGTCTCTGGCTGATTCTAGACCTTTCCATGGGTTCTCATCTCACAAAAGTTATGCTGTGGGCCTGCCAGGAGTGGTGGAGCCATTGCTGGGAATTAGGTTAATTCCGAGCTCCGGGAATTACATAACAGCACAATTAAAGTTGGGGCTCAGCTGCCGTTCTCCCTCCTGGCTGCAGGGCAGGTTTGGGTCAGTTCTTGGATTTCTTGTGGTGCATTTTGGTTCTTGTGGCTCTTTTGGCCTTCTCTGAGTTCGCCCTCAGGCACAGGGAGCGTTCTGGGGGTTCGTGCGCCTTGCGGGCTCAGGTTGCTGCCGCGTTCCCGTGGGTGATTCTGTAGGTCCAGCCTCAGGTTTCCCAGGCTTGGGGCTGCAGTGAGTGGCTGCTGTGGTGCCTGTGCTGCTGCACAGAGCGAACCCGGCGCGCTGGGGGAGCTGATGTGCCGGGAAACGAGCTCTGCCCTGCCCCGGCGGGTCAGCACTGCCCAGCCGGGGATCACGTGTGGGACACGGCAGTGTGTGTGTCACCGCTGCCCTGGGGAGCCTGTTCAGTGCCCCACCACCCTCTAGGGGGGAGGAAAATATTCTTTTATCTCTCTAAATCTTCACTCAGTGTCAAACCTCACCTGAGGAAAGGTCCCTAAAGTGCACCCTGTGTGTCTCTCTGGCACAGGGAGTGTTTGGCTTCTCTTCCAAGTGCTGGAAGAAGGGAGGGGGAGTATTGTATGTCCAGTGGCAAACACGATGGCTAATTTTAAACTCTAGACATCTGCCTGCTGTAAACCGAATTGAGATCACCAAACTTATTTTACTCCAGCAGCTGAGTAACATCTGACAGCTGAGAATGTGGGTGGGATTTCACCCCAAAAATGCTGGATAAACACACCATATCCCATTAAAGAAAAAAGTCTCTGCAGGAATTGCTCAGAAAAGGCAGGTGTGCTCCTTTTGTCAGAGCCTCACAGGAAAGATTGCTTGGCCAGGACAGGATTTTGGACCCTTCCTTAAATCATGGCTATTTTAGGATTTTGTCACTGTTTCGTAACAGAGGCAGGCGGTGGAGTGGGAGTGAGGGTCAGGAGAGCTGTGAGAGAGCGACTGTGCCACCTGCTTAGGTAGGTGCTGGATTTCTGTCAGTGGTGGTACTGCCTTGGCACTGTCCCTGCCCAGGGGCTGTGCCAGCACACCTCGACCCAGAGGTTCCCGTGACAGAAAATCAGGTGCCTGCGAGGGGGATCTGTGGGACTCTCGTTGGGAGCTGGAGTGGGAGGGTGGAAGCCACGATCGGCACTCGAGCGGGGGCAGCGTGTGGAAGCTCTGAGGAGGAGGCAGGAGTTGTTAGGCAAGCGTGGGATTCTGTCACTGTGCGCAGGACAGCTTCTCTGCTGTGCTGGGAAGGAGCAGGGGCTGAGCTTTTGGCAGGGCATGGGGAGGAGAAGGAGCCTGGTGCTGGTTCCTCTCCCACCAGCCAGGCAGCGAGCTCCGTCCTGGGGCCTGGGCGTGCGAGGGAGTGTCGGCACACACAGCTGCTGTTTGTCTTGGTGCGTCTCAGGCTGTGCCAGGGGAGATCCGGGTGGGACATCAGGAGGAATTCTGTCACAGGAAGGGTGGTCAGGCATTGGAAGGGGCTGCCCAGGGAGTGGGGGAGTCACCGTCCCTGGAGGTGTCCAACTGGACGTGGCATTCAGTGCACCGGTCTAGTTGACAAGCCGGTGATCAGTCACAGGTGGGACTCGATGATCTTGGACGTATTTTCCAACCAAAATTACTATGAAAGAGAATAAAAGGATTGCCTCGCTCGCAGGGAGAGTCACCAGCCCCTCCTGCGCCCGTGGTGCACGTGAGCCATGAAAGACAAGCTTCTTCCCCAGCTCCTTGGAGCTGCCCTTCCCCGTGTCTGCGCCCAGCGTGGAGCGGCCCCGCGAAGACACTGACCCTGCCACAAAGCCACCCATTGAGCTGGGGGATGTATTTTTAGCAAAGCACGATTCTTCTTCGGTGTCAAAAGTAGCAAGTGGGGAGCGCAGGGCCCAGCGGCGCGGGAGGCAGAATGAGCTCATTCAGGCCGCAGCATCTGTTTGGGGTGAAACAATCCCCAGTGAGATCAGGGGCTGCAGTTCTCCTTGTTGGAGCCAGAGCCATGGTAAACAAGGGCTGTGTGCTCTGTGTGCTCCTATGTCAGCGGGGCACAACGGGGCAGAGCTGCTTCTGTCCTAGGGCTGGGAGCTCGGGCCCAGCCTGGCAGCTCCAGCAGCTCCTTTGCCTTCGTGCATCTGTGTTAAAATGCTTAAAAGGAAAATGGGCCAGTAAAAAAAGAGGAGAAAACGGTAATCCTTGCGTGGGGGTGTTTCTCTGGCATCTCAAGAGTGCCAGAGCTTTGTGCAAGTTGGTTTTGCATGGATCTGTTTTCTCTCTCCTGTTTTCCCAGCAGTTTGTTGCAGATGGGATGCTCTGGCACCCAGCCTTCATCCGTGTCTATTAGGCAGTGATTCCTCGTGACATGACAGGTAAAAATTGCTAAAAGACTTGTGACTTGGGGCCTGCTGGGCTGGGCTGCAGTGGTGGCTTAGGTGAGTTCTGCCATGAAGACTGTTCACACTTCAAATTGTGTAACAGATGCCTTCTGAGGGAATGAGCTTTCACAGGATCTGTGGTTTTCTTTTCCATTTACCATGACAGAAAGAAGTTTCTTACTGCCCAGGCTCCAGAAGTGCAGAATTGCTGAGTAGTTCTTCCACTGTATTTGGATGTTTGATCTGTAATATTCAAAGGAGGTGGTTGTGTTTGGAAGCATTTCAGTCACGAAGAGTCGGTGATATGGATCCATCCCGCAGGCGATCCTTGCTGTGGATCATGTAGCCAGGAGGGTGCTGTGGTGGGTGCTGGCTCCTGAGGAGGAGCCAGGCTGCAGCACCTGCCTCAGGTGTGATGCTGGGAGGGCTGGGGCGATGGAGGGATGGCAGTGCCCTGTCTCCCATGAGTGAGTTAATCGGCTGCTGGAGCAGGAGCAGGAGGAGCTGACCCGGGAGCCCTGAGGCAGTGGGTGTGTTCGCTGCCCTTTTGCTCTGCTGCAGTTGTTACCATCCCATTTCAACTGAGCAAAAGCCAAAACTGAAAGTGAAGAGCACACTTCCCTGTGTCCATTGTTCTGCCAGCTGGGAAATCTGCGATGCCTCACTGAAAACAACCCCTGCATGAGGCGCTTGTGTGGGAATGGCCAAGGGCAGCCTGAGTGAGGCTGAAAACATGGGAACTTGTTCCAACACAATTCCCATTGTTCTCTCCCTGGTTGGCCTGCAGAGCATTGCTGGTGTTCCCAGCTCCAGCACTGTGGTGTGCATTCCCCTCTCGGACTGCGTGTCTGGAAGGGTGAAAGGAGATGGGGGAAGAGAGAAGGGTTTCATTTCTCTCAGGGAAAGCTGTGCTTTCAGGAGTTTAAGGGAAGCTGCTTTAAACCATATGTTGTGTGTTTTTAAAGGTCCCAAACTGTCTCTGCAAACGCTTGTTCTTGAGTGTGAGGACTATTTCTGGACCTGTTGCCAAGGCAGTGCCAAGCTTCTGCTGGAGGCTTGCACCCATATTTCTTTTTGATTTAGCTGTCTTTTGAATGTGGAAACTGTTCTTCTTGGTCTTTGTTCATAAGCATGTGGCACTCCTGAGAGAGGCAGTGCTGTCTCTTGAGCTCTGAGGTGGTGCAACACCTCACAGGAGGGGGCTGTTGGATAAACCCCATACCAAGGAGTTCTGGTGGACTCTCTGAGGAGACTCAAAGGTGGTTTTAGCCTGCTATTGCATCCCTGTAATATTTGACCAGGAAATATCCCTGTTCTCCCTGTTTTTTAGCCAGTTGCGACCTGGCTAAAGGGCTGGAGTATCTGAGGGCCAGCAGGACGTGAGGTGTGTTGCTTTCCCCTGAGCAGTGTGTGCTGAGATCTCACAGCAACCACCTACAAGCATTTGGACCGTTGAAGAGTTATACTGAGGTTGCCTGGGGGTCAAATGGTCAACGTGGTCAGAATCTGGTGCTCAATCCCTCTGAAAATGTGGTGTTTTGCTTCCTTTCAGAGAAGCAGAAGCATTCAAGGAGCAAGGAAACGCGTACTATGCCAAGAAAGATTACAACGAGGCGTACAACTACTACACGAAAGCCATAGGTGAGAAGAGCTGATGGCCATATCAATCTATGCTGAACACCATGTCTAGAAATCAGAGCTGGTTACTGATTTCAAACACACCAGCAGGGTTTCTGACAGTACATGCTGGATGGAAACTTCTTGCCTGCTTTAATTACCTTGGGAAATGTCACCAGATCGATAATGCCAGTCGGGGCCGATGTTCTTAATGAGTGCCACAAGCCGTGTGGCTGCTGCATTACACTGACAGTGAGTCTTGCATCGTCCCCAGATACCTGTCCCAATAATGCCAGTTATTATGGGAACAGAGCTGCCACGCTCATGATGCTGGGGAGGTTCCGAGAAGCGCTGGAGGATGCTCAGCAGTCGGTCAGGTTGGACGACAGCTTTGTGCGGGTACGTGGAGAACTTGGGGCTCTTCGTTCAGTACCTTGTCTGCACCTGTTGCAGCTCTTGCAGCTGCCTTTTGTCTGTGTTCCCAGGGCCATCTGCGGGAAGGGAAGTGCCACCTTTCCTTAGGGAACGCCATGGCTGCCAGCCGCTGCTTTCAACGAGTTCTAGAACTGGATCATAAGAATACGCAGGCACAGCAGGAGGTAAGAGGGTCTTCAGATCTAACTGGCCCCCAGAAGGTGCTGAGGAGGCTGAGCTGGTCTTTTCCCCCAGCTCTCCAGAGGAGAAATGGAGAGTGGTGTAAGGCAGCTGCCACTGTTGTGTCCCTTTCACAGGGTACATTTTCCTGGGCTACCAGTTTGGTCAATTGATTTCAAACTGATTTTAATGCTAGCAAAAGTATTCGTGTCATCTGCATTATCAGTCAATAGTCTGCAGTAGATTTGGCTCTTGACACCTCAGGGATTGGCTTGATGGCATTTCAGAGCAGAGACTGTCCTGCAGCACCTTTATGTTCTGTCTTTCAGCTGAAGAACGCCACGACCGTGCTCGAGTATGAAAAAATAGCTGAAGTGGATTTTGAGAAACGGGATTTCAGGAAGGTGAGATGAACTTGTTTGCTCTGGTCTTATATAAGAGCTGACATATTTGACCTGACCTGTGCAGCCAGGTGTGTGGCTGATTTCCCTGCTGGGTGTTTGGGAGGTGCTGTGCCACATCTGCTAAAGCAGGGCTGGCTGGTGAACTGTGTCAGCTGTGAAAGGGGCTTGTGCTCCCTGAGCACTGATTAAATGACAAGTGAGGAGGTGACTGGCTCAGGCTGAGTGTCCTCTGGCACCGTTTGCTCTGCAAGATGAGTGGAGCCATGAATGAGCTGTTTGAGACAGAATTTCTCAGCAGCAGCATTTAATCAAGCTTTATTCCTAAAATGCATATCCAGGATTCTTCTTTCTCAACTCTTTAAAAAAAAAAAAGTAAAAAAAGGCAGGCCGTGTGCCAGTGAGAGTCACACAAGGAGGAATGCAGATCTTCTTGGGGCACTCTCCTTACTGTTTCCAAATCTTTCTTCCCAAGGGCTGTAAGAGGATGCAGCTGGTACTAACCTGATAGAGCAAGAAACAACAGCATGAAATCTGAAAGGCACCAAGCACTTCTCATGCAACTGTTTCTGTGCAGTGGATGCATGTAAGGCTCAGATTTGGCCCAGAAAGGAGATTGTCTGGCACACTGAGCTCGTTGTTCAGGTCACTGACTCTTAGGCCAAGCTCAAGATTTTGGAAGGGTAAATCCCATCATTGTATCCCTTGTTTCTGAGAAGCAAATGGGATGTGTGGTCAATCTGAATCTCCTGTGCAGGAATTGCCGTGCCTGTATTGGACGTCCCGTGTCTTGTCCCTCAGTTCCCTTGGTCCCACTTCACTGGGGGAGGCTCACATGAAACGTGATCTTTGTTTCTGGAGAGCTGCTCCTGCTCCTGCCTCTCCCAGGAGCCCTTGGCTCTGGAGCACAGTGTTTCCCACAGCAGGGCCCCGTGATGTCACGGGCCGGGGAGCAGATGAACCTTGGGGAACAATGCCCCGTTCTCGTGCAGATGTCCCCGCCGAGAGCAGGGGTGGAAAAGACCCATTAGCTCACCCTGCCCATGGCTGGCAGGCCAGTGGAAGATCAGCCTCCTATACTGTACTTTTTTGTGTTTTCTCCAGTCCAGACTGTCTCAATCTATTGAATTGCTGTCCCTTCCAAGTGTCTTTATACTGCAGGAAACAGGGGCAGGATTGTCCTCTTTGACTCTTTCTTTAGGGCTTACAGTTTAGAAGAGTTAAAGGGGTGGACCTCCTACAGGTGTCCTTTGAGTCTTGTGGAGTGCTCTGTCACAATAACACATCAGGTGCCTCAAATCTTGGCACACAAAGCACTTTTAAAAGACAAAAAACCTGCACGTGAGGAAAACTTTCCAGTGAATGTGTCTCTAGCAGCCACGCTCCCCTTCTCGGTCAAGCACAAATCCCCAGCGTGGTGCAGCCGTTCAGACTAGGCCGTTGGTCTTTGCTGTGCTCATGCCCGTGGCTTTTCCCGCCACAGGTCGTGTTCTGCATGGATCGTGCTCTGGAGTTTGCTCCCGCGTGTCACCGGTTCAAAATCCTCAAGGCCGAGTGTTTGGCGCTGCTGGGCCGGTACCCCGAGGCTCAGTCCGTGGCCAGGTGAGTGTCTGAGGGCTGGGGGCATGTCCTGGCTGCTGCCTGTGCTCCATACCCGGGGTAAATGAGGGAATATAAAAAAGAAATAGCCCTTAATGCACACTGTGAGGAGGGGGAGGAGGAATGTGTGAGTTTATCCCCGTTAATCTTCCTGGGAAGCTGCATCCAGCCCCTGTTCCCAGCCAACCATCCTGCCTCAAGCAGAATCACATCCTTTTGGCTTATCTATACCGTGGACTTGATAAAATAACTGGATACCTGGAGCAGAGGAGGGTGCTTGTGGATAGTCAGGAGGAGGCGGGAATGGGGAACATTTCCTTCCCTGCTGTTGTTGCAGCGATATCCTGCGGATGGACTCGACGAACGCCGACGCGCTGTACGTGCGCGGGCTGTGCCTGTACTACGAGGACTGCATCGAGAAGGCCGTGCAGTTCTTCGTGCAGGCCCTCAGGATGGCCCCGGACCACGAGAAGGCCTGTCTTGCCTGCCGGGTAAGTGGTGGAGAAGGGACAGCAAAATTACCAGGATTTGGGGTTTTTTTGTAAAGCAAACACCCAGCTTGATTCTGCTGGATCAATCCCTTCTCTCTCCCTCAGTGTTACTGTTCCCGGATCTCCAGGAGCAGGCAGGGTATCCAGCCCTTCCCAAAGACAACCAGATAAACCCAAGTTGCCAGAAGCAGTTTCTCAGCAGATTGGGACACTTTGAAGCTGCTTCCCCTTCACTCTTCTTTGTTCCCAGATACATCATTTCTAAAGGAACTCCTGACTTTCATATCCAGTATCCGCCCACAGCCTGACTTGCATTTAACACTGTTCCTTCATGTTGCTCCTTCCCTGGTGTAATTCTTCAACTGACTTTTCTAATGTGTTCTCATGTATAAGCCCTCAACAAGTGGGCTCCCAATCCTTTTATTTTAATCCATAATTTTACTGCACTGTCATGTTCTCATCTTAAAAATTAGGCATCCTTTTTCCTGTGGAGAATGCCTGGAACTGGCGCTGGCTGTTCCTTTAGTGCAGCAGTGTCTGCAACCAAATTAAAACTGTTAAGTTTGAGGGCCCTTGTGTCCTGACCCAGGCGTGTTTCCTTTCAGAATGCCAAAGCACTTAAAGCGAAGAAGGAAGACGGGAATAAAGCATTCAAGAAAGGCAACTACAAACTAGCGTATGAACTGTACACAGAGGCACTAGGAATAGACCCAAATAATATCAAAACAAATGCCAAACTCTACTGCAACAGGGGGACGGTTAATTCAAAGGTAAGGTGTCTGTTGTCATCTCCCTCACCGTGTCAGTGATAAACCACAAATCAGTTGTCCTGGGAAGTACAGGCTCCTCTGGCTGCTGGGCAGCTGCATCTGTCTGGGGCCATGGGCAGTGTGTCAGGGATTTGTGCTGGCACAACACTTGGGTCAGTTCCCAACAGCCAGCAGTTGACTCCTGCAGAAACAAAACTCAAATACTTGGGCTGCACGGAGTGGGAGGTTAGAGGAGGGACGTGCTGTAGCCTTCCCTTAGTCAGCAAAAGGCATCCCTGTCCCTGTTTCTCCTTCCTGGGAATGAGCAGCTTTATTTTCTTAATTCTTCTTGTAAGTAATGTCTTGCTTTGGTTTTTGATCTTAAAAAAAAAGACCTAATTTAAAGCCCCTGGACATTTCTTCCAGCTTTGCTGTTGAATTTTAGTCCTGCAGTATCCAGAGAAACAGTCAGTCATGTGTCAGTGCTCCCAGTCCCCACCCTGTGTCTTCTGGGCATGATTCCTCCTCAGCTGTCCCTCTGTTGATGCTGCTCCCCAGACATCAGCACTTGGTCAAGAGAGCACAGGCTGTTCCCAAAACCTGGGCAGTGGGATGAGCTGGAGACAATGTAATGGGTGTCTTACATGGCTGTTTGTGTCTGAAAAAAAAACCAATTCTTTTTCTAAAAAAAATTTCTTTTAAATATTTCTAAGTTTATCTTGCTGTCTGGGAATTAGCTTGGACACAGAATTGGGGTTGTTTTCAGGAAGACCCTTGTTTTTGAGTGCATTTCTTACACAGAAGCACCATGTCTGCCATGTCACTGGCCAAGCTTCTCATTCTTTCCAAGGGAAACAAAAGTTCAGAGGTTTGGAGGAATTGAAAAAAAAAAAACAAACAAAACATTCCTAGGCATGGAAACCAGTGAGATTTCCCCCAGATTCTTCACACTGCTTTTCATTTGCCTAGAAGCAACGATGCAGGGTTTGCTCTCTGTTTTGGGATGTGCTCACTTTTTGCCTGCCGTTGTAGCTTAGGAAACTCGAAGAAGCGATCGACGACTGCACGAACGCGGTGAAGCTGGACGACACGTACATCAAGGCGTACCTGAGGAGGGCACAGTGGTGAGTGCACCTGAGCAGGTGTGTGGGCAGGAAGGTCCTCCTGGCAGCTCTGAGGGACGGGGTGGCAAGGCTGGAGTTTTAACTGAGTGGAAGGTTCTGCACTGAGGGGTCCTCAGTTCGTTCCTGTTCCTTACTCTGCTGAGGAGAGGAGGGAAGCTCCCATAAGTAGCTCCCTGGCAGTGGTCCTGTGTGGGCCCCTCTGATGATTCTCTTCCCTTAATCCATGTCCACCCAGAGAGCTGTACTGAACCCCTTCTGATGTTCCTGTGAAGGACACCTTGGCCACCAGTGTTTCTTTCCACAGTTACATGGACACGGAACAATATGAAGATGCTGTAAGAGACTATGAGAAGGTTTATCAGACAGAGAAAACAAAAGGTGAGCACATGGGCACTCTGTGTGTGTGCACACTTTTCCCTTAACTACCAATTTTTTTGTTGTTGCCTTTTTTCCCCCACAATATTCTCAGTTTTGCAGCCTTTTACCCCAGCAGGACAGTATGGAGAAGCCCTTTGGAAGCACTGGAAATGCTTGTCTCAGGTCTGGTTTCTCTCCCAGCATTGAGTGCTGAGATGATAATTGAGTTTTTGGCTGAGACAGTGCACTGAGTTCAGAATACCCGGTTTCGGTTCTCATTTTAACTGTCCCCTTGTTTTTTGAGTGGCCTGAAGTGAGAAGGAAAAAGTAACCCCTCTCCTCTGGCCCTGTGCTCCTTTCCAGAACACAAACAGCTCCTAAAGAACGCACAGGTGGAACTGAAAAAGAGCAAACGGAAAGACTACTACAAAATCCTGGGGGTGGACAAAAATGCCTCTGAAGATGAGATCAAGAAGGCTTACAGGAAACGAGCACTGATGCACCATCCAGGTACCCACAGCAGTCCCTATGTGCCCTGCACAGCCATCACTGAGGAAGGAATGCATATGGGAGTGGGAATTTCTGGACAAATAGCAGCTCTGACCCCACAGGTCTAGACCATGTGCTGGGACAGGAGCGTGGAAATGTTTAATGTTTTCCATTTGCACTAGAAATTAAAAGCTTCTTCCTGCTCGTGTGTGTATCCCCAGACCGACACAGTGGGGCAAGTGCAGAAGTACAGAAAGAAGAGGAGAAGAAGTTTAAGGAGGTTGGTGAAGCCTTTACAATCCTGTCAGACCCCAAGAAGAAGGCCCGCTACGACAGCGGGCAGGATCTGGAAGAGGATGGATTGAACATGGGAGGTCAGTGTTCCTTGTGGTATTTTGCCATGGCAGCCTTTAACAGGATCAGACCCTTAAGAGTCTGCCTTAGGCCCTAAAGCAAGCCTCCCATTGAGAATAATTCCATGAATTGATTCAGTTTGGTTGCTGAAAGCATTGGGATGGCAGAGCTGCACTGAGTGTTTCCAGTTGGGAACTGGCTGGGTTACTGGTGGATGTTGTCTTTGACTGAGCTGGTGGGCAGTGGCTGCCATTAGGCAGAAATCTATCACAGGACATGTAAAGTAGTGTAACTGTGGATCCCTAAATGATGCTTATCCAAACCCTTAGGCTGCCTCCTGACAGGTTCTCCCTGTGACAGCTGCTTTTACCTGTTTGCTGCTGCTGTGGCAGGGCTCAAATCCAACCCTGTGTCCCCGCTCCGCCCCCTTTGAAACCCTCTCGGTGAACTGACAGTTCCTGAACTGTGGGAGTGTAATTGGCTGCTTCCCTGCAGCTCATGAATTCCTTCTCTTCCCTGTAGACTTTGATGCAAATAACATCTTCAAGGCCTTCTTCGGCGGGCCGGGAGGTTTCAGCTTCGAAGGTAGGTGAGGGGGGTGCTCCTGCCAGCCTTGGAGTCGTAAGTACACGGAATCAGGGCCAGCTGGGGCTCCCAGTGGATGTGCTGCTTGGGAATTTCTGCCTGTACAGCCTCAGCTGGTGGCTGGTTCTGGTGGTTTTTGGGTTCAAGAGCCACAAGCGCCGGGTGTTCTCTGCTCTGGAGGTGTGTGTGGGCATCCGTGTGCTGCTTCGGATTGCACTGAACTGTCTTGTCTTTGGGTCTGGAAAGTCCTGATATCTCTCCCGTTTTCTCTTTCAGCTTCTGGTCCTGGAAATTTCTTTTTCCAGTTTGGCTAAGAAGCAAACAAACACAAATCAAACCACACATACCTGATCTGCTTCTTTTAACCTCGAATACGGACAGCCCCAGACTCCTCCTCCATCACGTCTCGTTGTCCTTAGAGCAGTTTCATTTCTGGGTTGGAGCCTCTGTTTGTGTGTTGTGTGTGTGAAGAGGAAACCAGCTCGGGAGGGGAAGGCTTGTGAATTTTGTTTTACTGTTAACTTTATTAAAAAAAAAAAAAAGAAAAATAAAAATAAAGCTTTGAATCTTTTGGTCCCTCCATGCTGGCCCATGCTTTCAGCTGCTCCTGCCCCTCAGCACAGAGGATTTCCTGGAATTTTCCTGGAATCTCCATGTGTGAGAGGGTGAAGGAATCTCCTGGTTTATTTTGGTTGGCTCTGAAGCAGCATGTCCAGGGTTTCAAGTAACTTGTAAGTTATCCTAATTTTTCGGAAATATTGCCAATGCTCAATCCAGTTTTATACAATCCCATTTCACCTGCCAGCTGGATTTTTGACTCTTTTTATTTCTTTTTTTTTTTTCCCATGGTTCTCCCAAGGTCCACTCGGGCATTAACTTCAGTGATAATGTGTGAGCTTACAATTCTGTATCAGAGAAATGCTGCTTTGAGTTTAAAGAGCAGCTTATGTGAGAATTCCCTGTGATGCAGCTGGAATTAAGGGCTTTGTGTTCCCAGGATTGTCCTGTTTAAGGGAATACTGAATTTGCTCTGGGCTGAATTCCTTCACTGTACTTTTTTTTTAATTAATCCACTTGAATATTTCATATTTGTGCTGAACTTGATTTTGTTGAGCTTGATGTGTGATTTCCTGTTACTGCTCCATGACGTGGGTGAGTCTTTCAGTGCCAAGTGAAGTCCAGGCAGGGGTTGTGGGTGGTTTGGGATGTGCAGTGCCAAGCTCCTGTTGTGCAGCAGCTGGGTTGGTTGGTTGGTTAACCTGGCCAAGTGGTTTTCTCCTGGCAGTGATTTACTCGTCCAAAGCAGCAGGGAAATGCAAATCCCAGCTCTGAACTGACAGTCTGTACTCGCTTCTCTCGTGCAGTGTCAGGACGGGAGCTGGAGGGATGGATGACCTTCCAGCCCAGAGCTGCTTCCAGATGGGTTTGGTTTTCAACTAAAAGGTGGTGTTGCAGCAGGATCTTACCTGGGAGAGGGCTCTGCTCCCCAAATTCTCCCCTGTTCCCTAGAGAGTGGAGAGCCTTTTTGCCCAGGTGCTCTGTGAGTTCGGTCCTGTCTGTGGAGGGTTCATGCTCAGCATGGGGGGTGAGGGGAGCAAGAGGCAGCAGGGCTGTGGCTGGGGATCCTGGGCCGGTGCTCAGCGAGGGGCAGTGGGGCCATGGCTGGGTCCTGGACTGACCTGGCAGGTATCAGAGGAGGAGTTTGCTCAGAGAAGGGGTGTTGGTGCTTCACAGGCCGTGCTGTGCGGAGAGAGAACCTGACACTGCGTAAACACCTGACTTACCTTCCTCCTGCAGGAACAAACACTGCAGTGGGTTCATTGCACGAGGTGATGGCTCTGAATGCCATGTCTTTGTCTTCCTCCCTCCTGAGGGCTGTGCCTGTCCTTCCAGCGGGACAGGGACCGGCGTGGGGCCGCAAGGTCCCGGCGGTTCCGGCAGAGGCGGTGCTGTCGTGGTCCTGCTGTGGTGTTTGGTCAGGATTCTTGACAATCTGCTTTCGTAGAGGGGAAAATTTTAAGGGCTTAAATTTTAGCACTGCAGAATAGAGTATTTGACAACTCACTTGGAACTCAGCTTATTCCAAGTGAGCCAGTGCTGAGTAATACTTTCAAAACCCAACTGTACCGTGTTTATCCCAAGGTCCTTCACACCACTGTGAAGGGTGAACCCACCCAGGTGCACCAAGAGCAGGTGGGTCCTGGTACCTTTCAGGCTCCAAAACGGTGAATCCCTGGGGAACCGAAACCCTGGTCTATGCACATCGATCCTCCCCCAGCTCTCCTGGCAGCTGTAAATCAGTTTACAGGTCCTGCTTAGTGGTGTTCCGGATCCATGACGTCTCGTTCTCTGTGTGTGGTTGTCACTGTACAGTCTAGGCTGTTCTCAGTCTCCTGCTGCTGAGCACAGCCGTGCCCTGTGTCTGTCAGTGGGTTTGTTCTCATTTCCCCCTGCCCCAGGGAAGTGCAATCTGCTTCCTTCCTCCTCTCCAAGCTACGAGTGAGCCCATTCCTCTGAGCACAGGAGTGGGATGGCTCTGCTTCTCTGGGAGAGAAAATGTATACAGCAGCTATTTATAACCTGTACATGAATGCATGATTTAATGTAGTTAAATATTCATATGGTGAGTGCCAAGACTTTTTACGGAGCGTTATTATGTGAGTCAAAACGAAGGCACAGAACCACGGAACGGTTTGGGCTGGAAGGGACCTTTAAAGGCCATCAAGTCCAACCCCCTGCCATGGGCAGGGGCACCCTCCACTAGGATGCCCTGAGCTCTGTCCCTGTTCCCCTCTGCACAGAGCAGGGGCTGAGCGGGGTTTGGTGGCACCCATCACCTCAGGGCAGCAGCAGCGCGGGTGGCACTGTGACCTCCACCGTGTCCCAGCACGGCCTGGGGATGTGGGACTGCTTCTTTCCAAAAAAATGTGCTCGGTTGAGCGTTGCCTGGAGCATTGCCTGTGCACACAGAGGTTATTATCCGTGGGTTGTGGATGTGTGTAGCCAGGGGGAACAGGAGTGCCACTGCTCCAGCTGCTCGCAGCCCCCCTGCGTGTCCTCTGGCTCCACGGGAGCCACTGGACGTGGGGATTTGCCACAGACACTGAATGGGTGTCTTCAAGGGGTGTTATCCCTGAGCTATTTCTAGAAGGGCAAGGAGCTGATGGAGGTGCAGGAGGCAGGTGCTGCCCCCGAGGCTCAGGCGTGGTGGGATGGACACGATCAGGTGTGGTCTGACACTCCCTGCTCTTTGGTGTCACTCCCAGCCAGCTCCAGCCTGGCAGCTCCTGCCCAGGGTCTCCCAGGGGGAAGGGCCAGTGCAGTGAGAGCTCCTGCCAAATGGGAAAGACCTGGAGAGAGAAGAGTTGAGAGCCAGACCAGGCTGGTGTGTCAGGAGAATCTTCCACCAGTCATGCTGGGAGTAGTTCTGAATAGCTCAAGAAGGGGCTGTCAGCTTCTCCAGGGAAGTTGTGAACTACAGGAAAAGTGTGTGGGGAGTGTGGCTGTGGGCAGGGCCGGCCTGTGGGGGCTCTGCTGTGGGACTGCAGCGTTTGCAGGAAGATAGGAGTTGTTTGGCTGTTAGACTTTCCCTTGGATGTGGTTTTGCCCGATCGTGCTCATGGAATCATGGAGTGTTTGGGGTTGGAGAGCTGTGAAGATCATTCAAGGGGTTCTGGTCACTCTCTTTCACTGGCTCCTTGTTGCTTTGGCTGCACAGGAAGGTACCAGGTTTGCTGTTTGAACACTCCTGGGAGTGTTCAGTGAGCAGGATCCCCAGTGCTGACAGCTGCTGGCTGTTGTAAATACAGGAATGCAAGTTGGGAAAAAAAACAGGAGAAGGAAAAAAAACGTTCAGGGACAACAGTATTATCCATTATCCGTGGAGCAGTGGGTCCCTCCACTCTCTGTAACTGCCAGGATACAAAGTGGGAGCTGCTGTGCTGTCGTGGTGTTTCTGGCACTGAGGCTGGTCCAGCCCCGGTTCCGCTGCCCCCAAACAGGGTCAGGCCAGGTGCTGCTTTGCCACTTCCAAACGACTTCCTCAGTTTCAGTAATAATAACTCTACATATTCCCTTATCTCCAGTGGATGGTTCTCATCCTGTTCAAATTCGTGCCTTGTCCCCAGGGAACAGGATGCCCCCTGTGCTGCACCCACCCCGTCCCTGGAGCGGTGCCGGTCCCCAGGTGGCTGTGGCAGGGCTGTGACAGGGACAGGTGGCAGCAGCTGGGGGGGCCATTCCCTGTGCCCCAGGCCTTGTGTGACTGTAGGAGCTGGTGTGTAACTCTTTGGCCTTCCTGCCAGGCCTGGCTCTGCCGCTGTCAGGGATGGGGTTATCCCTTCTCAGAGCAGTGCTGGGTGTTTTCCCTTGCCCAGACCTGAGTTCAGAGGGACAGCTCTGGTCTGTTGCTGTGAGGGGGGAGCTGGGACACTGCGCCTGAGCTGGAGCACGGGGGGTGCCCTGGGAGGGCAGGATCCGTGGAGAGCCTGGCTGCCATCCCAGCCTGTCCCACTCCCCCATCCCCCTCCCTGCTGTCCCTTCATGGCTTGTGTGGAGAGTGTGGTGTGAGGCAGAGTCAGAGGGGCTGTGTGTGGAGCACCCCAAGCCCCTCAGTGCATGTGAGTCGTGGTGGTCACGACGTTACGGAATAGTCCGGGCAAATCCAGGCGCCGATGCGAAGCCACTCGGAGAGGAGCTTGTCCCTGCGCTGCCGTATTTATCTGAATTGGAATTCGGAATGTTTACCTCAGTGTACATAGCTCAACCTTTCCCTGGGAGGAAAGGGGAATTGCATGGAGCAATCGCTGTCCCATCGCTTTGCCAAACTCCTCATCCTCTCCCAGCCAGGCTCCGTGTCGGTACTGACTGTCCTGTCCCTCTTGGACCTTTCTAGGATGTGAATGGTAAAAATGTGAATATTTGTTGTTTACTTCCTTAGCAGAACTCCTGATGCTGTGTTTGTATGGGGAATCAGCCTGAGCAAACCCATATGCAATCGGTTTTACTTTATTATAAACTGTATATGATGTACAAACTAATAAAAACTCAAACGACGACAGTGTCACTGTTGTTCTTGAACAGGCAGATGAAGGAGGTGTTCCAGCTGTGCATTCCAGTGCTGGAGTGGTCTGGATGCTGGGGGTGTGGGCTCAGTTGGCCCCTGGGCAGGTGCTGCCAAAGGCCTTTTCAAGCTTTGGTGGAACAAACCCTTGAGGTTCTGTCAGGAGAGGCCCTGGCTGAGCATTGGGCACTCGACTGCCACCGGTGTGGGGAGCTGGAAGGATTTCTCCATGGAGGGCAGGGAGGGTCACAGGTGATCTGGGTGGATTTATAGCTCACTTCTTTTACATTGTAATGAGAATTTATTATCATTCTTCATTTTGGAACAGCAGGAACTATTTTGCTTTCCCTAAGCAGAGTGTTTGGTTCCAGACAAGCCCCAGAGCTCTCCCTGCTTTTGGCCTCAACGTTTGGAGGAGAAACGCTCCTTACCCCGGCAGTGCTGGGCTCGGGTGAGCTGTGCCCAGTGACAGCCCCAGCCCAGCCCACGCCTCAATCACGGTCAGTATTTACAGTATTAGTGGGTTAATGTCACTCTGCAGCTCCCCAGGCTCTGAGCCAGAGCCGGAGGTCGAGCTGGCACCTGACCTGGGACCATCAGTGGAGCTTCATATTAAATAGGGCCCAGGAGCCACCACCCCGCTGGACCGGGGCCTGGTGGCGCACAAACACGGGTTTCAAGTCAAACATTTAATGACAGAAGTGCTGGGTCAGTAACTTCCAGCCAGGGTTTAGGTTTCGAGCAGACTTGAGTTACGCGGTTACGGTGCCTCCGCTTCCTACACTACGGGGTTAACTCCAGCCTAACTCTTAACATTCAAGTGCATTAGAGGAAGGGAGTAAAATCTTGCATGAAGTGCAGTTCTGTACTTCAGACATGATTTTAGTTTCTATCGAATAAGATGGAAAAGATGTTAGTTCATCTCTTCCACTCCCTGCCAAGGCAGGATTGTTCCCTACAGGACAAGGGTATGGGAACAGTGCTTGGTCCAGCCCAGGTAGGGGGAATTGGCCAGAACTGGCTGCCTGTGCTGGTGT